TTGAGATTCAGAAGGAGAAGCAATAGGTTAGATATATCCAGCAGCTCTCAACACACACACACACACACACACTCATACACATACCTTTTTATCTCTATCAAAATAGTTTATCACCTTGACCTTAACACATTGCGGACCAGTAGTTTTATTGCTAGCTTTACCCAGTGGCCAGATGTTTCTACTGAACGAGTACAAAAAACGTTTTACATAAATGTTAAAGGCATGCTTTACTAGTAAAATTAAATACCCATTGCATTTTTGAAGTTATTTATTACATGTTCTTACAAGCTAATATCTTTTTAAAGTATGATACTTTGTAAAACACTGTGTAATATGAAGCGAGAATTCTCATGATCCATCCACAGTGTGTGAAGCCATGTCCAGCTTGCTACACTTGAACCTTAAGTAGACCCAAAAATACAGAATGGAACGGCATGTGCCCTGTACCCGGGGACTCCCCTGCATGCTCTTTTGGTATGTTGTATGAAAGCTCTTTTCCCCCCACCAATCTTTTATTTCATTCTTTCCTTAGTATTATTTGAGCACCTACTATATGCCAAGTATCACCAAAGACATCTTGATAAATAAGATATAACCTTGTCTTCAAGGGGGAGGGACAGAGGTGAATGATAACCATCTGCTATGGGCCAAACTCAGAACTGTAGTGGAGAGGCAACTACCAGCAGGGGGAAATCAGAACAGGAAACAGAAGTCTACTGGGTAGGAGGGGGAAAGGCATCAAGTTTGGCAGTATATAGAGAAGGAGTTGAGTTTGTAAATTAAAGTGTGCTATATGTCAGGAGGTAAAATTAGGAGAGAAACCAGGTAGAACTATTTGAGACATTTTATAAATTTTTAACTATAAGAGAGGGGACAAGGAACTGTAGAAATCTGTAGAGTTCAGTGTCCCATTCTTGTTTGTACTGTGTGCACTTCACTCCTGGTTGTCTTGGTCTTCAAATTCTAAGGACTTCAAATTATATCTTCAAATTATAGAGACTGTATTAAAATATAAAGCACATTAAATAAACATAGTCTGAAGCAGAACTTCTAGTTTGCTTTACTTGGGGAAGTTCTTGGGTGTGGTTTAGGAGGGATATGATAGTTGACCAGAAGTTCAACTAGACCTGAAGCTCAGCTAGCTGAGAAATTCAGCTAGACCAGATCACAGAGACAGGTCCTGCCTTGAGGTCTTAGCTAGAGTTGCCTGACCATATCCTGAGATATAATAGTATCTAGGTAGCAGTTAAAGTTAGACTTAAACATAAACCATAATATTCAACAGAGTTAGTATCTTCAGTATGTGTCATTCATCCAAAACATTTTTTTCTATTTTAACCTCTCTGAAATGGGAGTACATTCTACAGTGTCATGGCATGTAGAATTGTCAGTTTAATGCTATATCTTACTGTCATAGTATCTCAGATTTTATAAGAAATGATCAAATGAAATCTTCAGTGTCTGGAATTGTATCCATACAGTATTTAACATATGAAAATTTATAAGCTTAGGTGCATTCTAGAGGTTTTTCCTAGATCTGTGAAAAGCCTTCTTGAATCTCTGTGTTCTAAACCCTGGTGTTTCTAATTTAAAAGAACATCAAGATAAAGGAAAAAAAAACAACATGAGTTATTTCAAACCCTAAACTTTGATTTGAGTGGAGCTCTTTCTAAGCATCATTGTTTTGGTTTGTATGAGTCACTGCAGAGTGCCCCTCTAGATCCCAACCCTCCTCCCAACTCTGTTTGGTTTTCTGAATCAGTGAGCGGAGACCTTGGGAAAACAGAGTTGGCAAAATCTAGTTTTTTTCTCCTTAAGATGCCTCTTAAAACAATTATTCCCATTCACACACCTATACTACCTTCTCCACCCATTATCAGCCTGCTCATCAAGTTCCCTGGTGATTCACAGAAACATGCACTGCAGGGCCTGTCTTTTTGGCAGCATCTCTGGACTGCACCCCTAAACGCTGATTTTGTCTCTGGGTTGTTGATATGATCATTTTTCTCTTTTTCCTGGTGTTCTGACCTTCCACTTCATATTTCTCTCTCCAGGAAGTGTGCCTTTGCCCAAATCAGCTTCTGTAGTAACAATCGCAACTAGCCAGTCCTCTTGACAGCTCTCCGCAATGTTGATGCCACCAGAATGGAAAAGGACCTTAGGAAAAAGAAGAGTTTGGCGGGCCAGTGGCTCTCTTGATATTCAGATTTTAAACATAAAGCTCAGGGTGGAGGGACATACCCAGAGTGACACTGTTAGGAATAGAGTAACGAAGAGAAGGTTGGCCACTTCCCCCAGCCCTTCCTCTTTCCTCAGTGTAGAGCCTCTCCAACTACAGTCTCAAGAAGAGCAGATAAAGTGCAACACTAGACAGCTATAGTCATTTTTGTAATCTTTCTGGATTGCCATAAAGTAATATGAGAACGTACTGAACATCGCAAGAGTGGTGGCTTCATGGGTGCAGCAATGTGGTGGAAAATGGAGCTCGAAAGTCCACTTGTATATGACTTTAGTTAACATCAAGAAAGAATAGTTGTCCACATCAAAGAATGGAGGGTGTGTGGAAAGGGTAAAAGCATGTCCCACGCTACATCCTTGGCATCTTCATGCAACCAGGCACTAGATTGCTCATCTTTGGCCACTTAAATTCCTCTCCATTTGAGGATCTTCCCTGGCTGGATTTCTTTATCATCCATTCTTTAGAGTAAAATGATACGACATTGCCTTGGGGATGTATTGCCCTCCCCATGCCATTGAACATGTTGACTACACTCCCTCTTGAGCAAAAGCATACATGATGGGGAGGGGGGGGGGGATTTAGTAATTTTGTCTCAAATAAAGGTGATAAAATCAAAAGGTAATGGACATAGTGGTAGGAGGTGAGGATGCCTCTTAGTCTAGTTGTCTGGTCCCTTTGCTCTCTGTAACAGTGGAAGACTTCCTTGCCCGACCTCATAATGTCCCCACATAGAAGTTCCCTGACAGAGTGGAGAAAAACCCAATCTCAATCTTCCCTTCTCTCTTCTCCTCACTCTCTTTTAACATTATTTTTCCTCCAGACAGCTTTTAGCCCGAGTGATTCTCAAACTTGAGCACAATGCAGCTCAATCACTTGGAGGGCTTGTTAAGACATATACATCTGGGCTTCACCCTTAGACATTCTGATTCAGTAGGTCCAGGGTGGGGCCTGAGAATTTGCACGTCTCCCAACTCCCAGGCAACGCTGATACATCATGTCCCGGGCCCTCTGTCCCACAGACAGCGCCCTGGTATGTGTAAGGCAGTGCTTGTCAAACCTAAGAATCACCTGGGAATCCTGGAATACAGATTCATACTCACTGGATCTGGGGTGGAGCCTGAAGTTCTGCATTTCTATCAAGCTCCCAGGTGATGCCCAAGTCCATGTGACCTTAGATAGTAAGGTCTTAGAGAACTAAAGAGAGTGCCCCCTTCTCGTCCACATAATGAAAGTCCTACTTATAAATCCATTACCCTCCTGTGTACAATTTCCTTCTCATCCCCCTCCTTTCATTTATTGTTCTATTGTTGCTGTTGTTCCTGTAGCTTCTTTCTTTATTTTAAATTTTATTAAATGTATTGGAGGACATTGGTAAATAAAATCATACAGATTTCAGGTCTACAGTTCTATCATCCGTATATTGCGGTGTGTGCTCACCACCCAAAGTCAAGTCTCCTTCTATCACCATATATTTGATCCCCTTCACCCTCTTCTACCTGCCCCCATCCCCATTTCTCCTGGTAACCACCACACGGTTTTCTGTGCCTTTCTTTCCTCCCTTCCTCCCTCCCTCCCTCCCTCCCTCCCTCCCTCCCTCCCTCCCTCCCTCCCTCCCTCCCTCCCTCCCTCCTTTCCTTCCTTCCTTCCTTCCTTCCTCCCTTCCTTCCTTCCTTCCTTCCTTCCTTCCTTCCTTCCTTTCTTCCCTTTTCAATAATTCCCAAATGGTACTTCAGAGCATACTGAGTATTAAGACTAGTAATGGACACAATTCTCTTCCATCACACAAAGCACTTTTAAAAAGCCCCTCTCACCAAAACCGGTTTGGCTCAGTGGATAGAGCGTCGGCCTATGGACTGAAAGGTCCCAGGTTCGATTCCGGTCAAGGGCATGTACCTGGGTTGCGGGCACATCCCCAGTGGGGGATGTGCAGGAGGCGGCTGATCGATGTTTCTCTCTCGTCGATGTTTCTAACTATCTCTCTCCCTTCCTCTCTGTAAAAAATCAATAAAATATATTTTAAAAAAATAAAATAAAATAAAATAAAAAGCCCCTCTCATCTTTCTTTCATATATATCCTTGACCAACTCCATCTCACCATGAAACTAAAGCCTAAACCTATATACACAAAACAACATATGACCAGGGAGTTTGGTAAGAAAGAATAAACTGACATTATTCCTTAGGCTAAGACTAATAGTCACCTGAGTTTTGTATTAAGTAATTCCCTATCTATTTCTGTGGTACTTAATATCTCTGTGTGTCTCTAAGTTCTGAGGTGGTTTACAATTAAGTAGATGGGTGACTTATTTTATAGTTTTGTAAAAAATTTTCACTTTGCCATCTTTTGGGCTTTCCTTCTCCCTTTTCCTCTGACGGGCTTTCTTTTCATCCTTTCTCTTCCTTTCTCCCTTTGTTTCTTTCTCTCCCACTTTGTTTTTTCTTGTTATTTTTTTTCAAGATTTAAGATTCCCAACCCATTTAGGATTCCACCCTGGAATTTAAAAAAACAAAAACAAAAACAAAACCAACCACTCAACCAGCCTGACTTCTCAAAAAGAGACTCCACCCAGATTGTCTTGGAGCGAATGAGTCCCACGGTGAGGTCAGAAATGAGTCTAGGAAAGTACATGTGGGTGCATGTCAGGGAATAAAGAAGGCAGGCAAGTGCCAAGGGAAACCCTGGATTTTTTTTTTTTTTCTGAAAAATACGTGACCAGGGGCTTTCTTCCAGGGCTAGAGATTTGCCCTGCGCTCTATAAAATATGAAAAGCTGTTCATTTCCGTGAATGTGGTCATTTTCCGGGTTTTCATAGTGCCTCATCTGCTTAGGAACAGACAGGCTTCCGGGAGGCGCCAGCTTGTTCTATCCCTGCCCTTGGGCAAGCTGCTTAGCAGCGAGATCTGTGGAAAAGTCAACCAGCGCAGAAAAGTGAAGTACGGAAAAGTCAACCAGCGCAGAAAAGTGAAGTACTGCCCAGCCTTGCTCCCCCTCCAGGCACCCAGGGACGGGGTAGGTGTTTGTCTGTCTGTCAGACAGTAGCTGTGTCTGAGAGTCAGTTCTGTACTGTGTTCTTTCCAAATGCAGTGAAGTTCAAGAAGAGCTATTTTTTTTTTTTTTAATGAAAGGGAGGGTAGTCATGGTCAGTGTCTTCTTGGTGCAGAAGCAAAAGCAAGTCACTCTGAATCCAATTCATCCTGGGCTTGAAGGCTCTTCTAACAGACCCGCATGCTTTAGCTGGCCCTGTGTTCCTCCCTATGTGACAGGTGACCCAGACTTGGATTCTAAGTGAATTCTAGAGGGTAAGTTATACAAACTTGTTTCACCTCCATCGACTCATCGGTAGAGTGGACAATCGCCTTCACTAACTGGGTCCTTGTAAGTTGACGGAAATGGAAGTGATGCCTAGAAACAAGCCCCTACTTCTTAACAGTGGTTGTTACCTGAGGGCTTGGAAGACGTTCAATACGTGTGAACATCCACCTTTCCTTCTTGGGTGAAAAGGAGAGGGAAGAAAGGGGGAAGGGCATGATAAATCTTCCACATGTAACCATCAATAAGATTCCTGGCTGTGATGGTAGAAGCAACAAAAGCAGGGGTCTCAAACTCAAAAGCCGCTAGAAGCCAAGTCATATGAATAAGAACAGCACCACAGAGGCAAAGAAAAAAGAACAAAGCAGATAGTGGACAAACGCATGAGAAGTACTTCAACTACTTGTTATTATAGTAAAAGTAAAATAGCTGCACACCCACAACAGAAAAATGGCATCTTGCCACTCCACCTTGAGTTCCGGAAGTAAGAAGGGGACAGTGGTGTTGGGGGTCAACAGGACGGATCATGCCCCCTTTGAGGGGCAGCCACTCTCTCCTCACCTTGCAGTTACCATGCAACACGGGACTTGAGGCCCAGTGTGGTCAGCCCTAATAACTTGTTTCAAGATGAGTAGGAGGCTTAGTTTATTCCTAAAATATTGCCCTTTATAAACGTTGGCCAACACTGTGGTATGGCCAGCATAGCGTGGTCCCAAAGGCCTGTGGACATTTCAGTGGCAACCTGCTCTTTCTTTCTAGAGTTCAGCCAGCACAGAAGGGAGCCCGGTGAATTGCTGTTTGCTTTCTATTTTCTAAGAGAGAAGAGAGCCCTTCCTGAAATAGCAACTTGGGAAGTCAGCATGGGATGCACGCTTGCCTTTGCTGGCGTGGGCAAGAAACTGTACCCACTTGACTAGACTTCACATCTGTTCGTTCTTGCCATATCCCTCTGAGGTGAGCATGATCCCATTTCACAGACTAGGAGGTAGAAGCTTAGATAAGTAATAATTTGCTCAAGATCTCACACAGATTTGAAACTGGGTTATTTTACCCAAGTTTAGCGCCTTTCAAATACCATGACGTGGGAAAATAACATTCGTTGAGTCCAAGGCTCATTTTTCTTCCATGTTCTGCCTTGATAAATGTTAGGCAGTGGAGGAGGCTTGGAAGCAAGTTTCAATTACTGGAATGCCAGTTGGTAAGTGGGTATTTCAGAGCATTCGTGAATATTTTGAGCCTGGACATGTTGGAGTCCAGAAATTAACTTCCTGAATCCCAAAGTTAGATATTGCTCTACTATGTGAGAACTTTATGTAAAACATTTTTAAACACCAATGATGTTAAGTCATAGTCCTTTCAAGTAGACCCAAGTGGAGAAATTTCTATATTATATCTGATAGTGGATCAAGATATTCCAACAATACAGATTCCCTTTAGGTCTGCTCGCTGCTTTATAAAATGCTGGCCTTAAACAAAGATCGGGTTCCCGCATGTTTTATAATAGCTGCCCACCAGCATCATCTTATTGGTATCCAGGTGGAGAAAGAGAAAATTTTAGTAACCCTGTCATAAGGGCTAGGAACTGCTTTCTGGCCTGAAGATAGGCTTGCTGGTTGGGTTAAGGTAATCAGGGTCCGAGTGTGAGTTTTGGCCTATGTTAATCCCATACCACTGCATACCTGCTGCCATAAAATGGAGGGAGCAAAAATTTGCCCATTGAAAAGTTAGTATACTTTTGGTGGAAAGTGGAAGAAATGGGTGCAGGGTGTAGATATTCACTACAAAGCCAACCTGGTCTATGGCTATACAATAAATAGTCATGCTTTATCTTTTATCTAATGCATACAAAGAGGAAAGGCGGGGAACCCTTCCTGGGAGACCTGACTGGTGGTACGGGAAACCACAAAGAAGGATCTTGCTTCAGATAGAAATCTGCTATTTCTCACTTTGTTGTTATTCTTGTTGCTCCAAAGAAGGTTTGGGGAACATTGGCCATGGTCATATTTGGGAGGTTTTCTGACACTAAATTCTGAAAATAACAAATCATCATGTGCAGGATTCAGCAAACTGCTGCTGCTTTTGTAAGCTAAGAATATGCAACAAAGCCCAGGTGGTGTTGCTCAGTGGTTGAGCACCGACCTATGAACCAGGAGATCATGGTTCAATTCCCAGTCAGAGCATATGCCCGGGTTGTGGGCTTGATCCCCACTGTGGAGTGTACAGGAGGCAGCCCATCAATGATTCTCTCTCATCACTGATGTTTCTATCTCTCTCTCCCTCTCCCTTCCTCTCTGAAACCAATAAAAATACATATTTTTTTTTTAAAAAAAGGAATTTGCAACAAACACTGCATGTGGTCTATAAACCCTCAACTATATCAGGGCCTTTCCAGAAAAAGTATGCCAGCCCCTAATCCAGTGCACCAAAGTGAAACTTCTTTGCCTCTTAAATAATTAGAGCAAAATAACAAAGTTTAGGGAATCTATGACTCATAAAACCAAATTTACAGGAAATTTATCATAGGATTAAGACTTTAATGTTTACCTCAACTGCAAAATAATCTCTTCAAAATCCTGATAGTAACGTTCACCCATCTACTAATACCTTGCTTATTTCTCATTTGGTGGGTGCAGGCCTGGGGAGAGAGGGGTGCATGGAAATGGGTTTCAAGAGGTCAAAAATAGACATACTGAGTTTGCAGTTGGCTGATTCTTGGCTGACCACGGGTCGACTAATAGTCATGGCATAAAAACGACATTAGTTCCAAGTCTGCCAAAGTTCTAGTTCTGAGATGTCATGTTCAATGATGTCATAGAGAAGTTACCCGTGTGTTCCAAGTATGGTCCTATAATGCTAAGACACAGCTACAGTGAGCCAACTGAACCAACTGGTGTAACTCACGATGCAGTGTATTAAAGACGAGGCAAGTACTTATTTGTCTTCATTGAATATTTCAATAGAGACCATCTTGAAACAGATTTTTATCAACTTTAATAATTATTTCTGCCCATCTGGCATGGCTCAGTGGTTGAGCATCAACCTATAAACCAGGAGGTCATGGTTCGATTTCCAGTTAGGGCACATGCCCAGGTTGCAGGCTCAATCCCCAGTGTGGGGCATACTGGAGGCAGCCGATCAATAAGTTTCTCTCATCATTGATGTTTCTATCTCTCTTTCCCTCTCCCTCCCTCTCTTAAATCAATAAAAACGTATTTTTTACAAACGAATTATTTCCTCCACCCAGTACCTTTGTTGCTTTGTGGCAAGGGGAGATTTTGAAATGCTTGCTCTTTATGCTGTTTCTTGAAGGTGGCACGGCCTAAAGAATAGCCAAGGGACAAATCGATCCAAAAGGACTTGTTCCTCCCTACTGCTCATTTCTTGCTGTGACTCTGGCTGGATCCAGGCCAGCTCCTAACATATCCCATTCTGATCCCACAGATTCTACCTTAGCTGTCCCTGGAAAATTCTCTAAAAGTAAAAGAGCTCACGTACTTCTCTTATTCTGGGAAAGAGAACAGGAGAGACATTCCTATGGAGTGGGATAGGAAAAATGATGGCCAATAGTATCAACAATTCCTTAGGTGGTATTTTAGAAGGCCACTTTGTATCCATTGCCCAATGTTGGTTATCGCAACAAATCTAAACGCAGGTTAGGGAGAATTCTTTATTTATAAAGAAAAGAAATTGCCTCTAAAAGAGAATCTAAGGTCCTACATCTTTCAGGGGTGAAGTGGGCATTAGAATCCAGATTTCATTGTGGGGGCGGGGGGTCAAGAGCTAGACAGAAGGGGGAGGGCATAGAGCCTGGTTCACCAGCTCCCTCAGATTTAGACTTTTGACATTTTCCCCAAATGCAGCTGTGCAGAAGGTTATAAAAATTTGACCAGGCTGAAAGGAAGCATTGCCATGGAACTTTGATGTAAGCAAATGTTTTAAAATAGCACACATTTGCCCGGCCAGCGTGGCTCAGTGGTTGAGCATTGATCTATGAACCAGGAGGTCATAGTTTGATTCCCAGTCAGGGGACATTTGTTGATTGGATTGTTTATCTTCCTATTATTAAGTTTCATGAGTTCCTTGTAAATGTTGGAGATTAAACCCTTATCGGTGATATCATTGGCAAATATGTTCTCCCATGCAGTGGGTCTTCTTGTTGTTTTGTTGATGGTTTCCTTTGCTATGCAAAAGCTTTTTATTTACATGATCTCACTCATTTGTGGAATATAGAGAACAACATGGTCTGATGAACGGGGACAGATCCAAAGACAGAGAGAGAGCAATCAGACTATTAATCCCCAAAGGGAAGGTAGGGAAGGGTGGGGGTAGGGGGAGGAGATCAGCCAAAGGACTTGTATGCATGCATATAGGCTAAACCAATGGACATGGACAACAGGGGGATGAGAGCATGAGTTGCGGGGGGGGGGGGGGGAGAATGAGGGTTAATGGGGGGGATGAGGACACATTTGTGATACCTTAACTAATAAAGAATTTAAAGATAAAAAAAAAAAGAAAAGCTAATTCAAGTGAACAAAACAAACAAACAAAAAAAAAAAACAATGATCACTCCCCCCAAACAAAATAAGCGGTTCAAGTTGTTAGATTAGTTTTTCTTTTAAATTTCACTATTAATGCATGTTTAGGTCCTTGTTTAAAAAATCAAATATGGCTCAGTGGATAGAGCATCAGCCTGCAAACTGAAGCGTCCTGGGTTCCATTTCAGTCAAGGGCACATACCTCGGTTGCAGGCTCCATCCTCAGCCCTGGTCAAGCTCATGAGGAGGCAATCAATCAGTGTGTCTCTCTCACATTGATGTTTCTCTCTCCTCCTCCTCCTCCTCCCTTCCACTTTCTCTAAAAATCAATGGGGAAAAAAATCTTCTGGTAAGAATTGACAATAAAAAAATCAAATATAGATGTTCACCTTGAACCATGCAACCTCACCCTTCACTCCTCATCTCTCGCTGGCCCATCTCAGTTTCTCCCCAGAGGTAAACAACCATTACCAACAACAATCCTAATTTGGGGGGGGGAGGGAGGGAAGGGTACATCACTATATGTACTAGTACTTAAAAGATAAATATATATGACCTCTGGGATAGTTAGGAAAGGTTGGGCCACCTAGAGAACAATGATGTGGGGAACTTGGTTAAGGTTTTTAAGAACTAACCTGTCATTTTATACTTTGTAAAATGTTATGAGTCTCAGTGATTATGCACATTTCCTCATTTATGTTCTGGTCTCAGAATGAATTCAAAACACTTTTGAAATCTGCCGGCTGCAAACTTGTGGTGATTGAATTTTCAGCAAAATGGTGTGGCCCTTGCAAAAAGATTTGTCCTATTGTTCATGTAAGTATCATCAGTCTCTATTTTACAGTTTTAGAAGGAATTTAATATGCACAAATTCAAAATCCCCAAATATTGTTCCCAGAAAATCTTATGTTTGGCTAAGCCATTATGAACTTATAGTACACACCCCAGAAGATTAAGACTATGGATAATTCTCCAAGGAACATCGTATGTGCAAAAGGAGACAATTGTACAAGTGAATGGATTATTCATAATAATGGCATTTTACCAAAGTTCCTGAGTTTAGGACTTCTCAGTATTGGATTAGATTCCAGATAAACATGATACTTTTTAAAATTATAACATAAAAGAATAAACTACCCCCAACCCTTCAACCCTATTATCAAAACATATATCCTTTACATCATATTCCTTTTGTATCTTTGATCTACCTTATAAAATACTCTAGTAAAATATTCTACTTAGTAAAATACACACACACATACACACACACGAGAGGCCCGGTGCACAAATTGGTGCACATAGAAAGGAAATTAATTAGAAGAAATATTTAACACATTGCAGATGAATCACAAGAATTCTCGTGTTTTTGTATTACACAGTGTTTTACAAAGTATCATACTTTAAAAAGATATTAGCTTTTTACATGTTTGAACATGTAATAAACAACTTCAAAATGCAATGAGTATTTAATTTTAAAGCATGCCTTTAACATTTATTTAAAACATTTTTTCGTACTCATTCAATAGAAACTTTTCTAGCCACTGGGTAAAGCTAGCAATAAAACTACTGGTTCTTCAATGTGTTAATATCGCTATTTGCCCTTTCTCTATAATAGAAGTGTCAACCAAATTCACAATTGACAATGACAGATGGAAACATACGTGTGCAATTGGTGCCAGCAAGAGCTTTATATGTATCATGCATGCACGAGTCAATTTAGCCTTTTATAGAGAGAGAATAAACTTGCTTAATTAGACCTGCTTTCTGATTTAGCTAAACATTTTCCAGCCCAGTGAAGCACCCCAACTTCTTTTTCAGGTCATTGTCAGCAACACAGCAGTAAATATCAACGCAAAGCAGGTTATTATTATAGATCACACAGGGAGAACAAAGGGTAAAATATTTAACTGCAGCAGTGTTTGTATTCTGCTCAGTGAGAAAACCTGAAGTCATTTTCAAGGTCCACCATTTCTTCTTTTCAGTCAGGTCAAGTTTCTAAGCTTTCTAAATCTCCATTCACTGGCTAATGAAAAGAAAATAGGATTCCACCGAGTCTCCTATCTACTTACTCCAGGACTTCTGTGAGGATCAAATGAGATGAGGCACGTGAAAATGCTTCACAGACATTTGGTTAAAGTGTAAAATGTTTCTACCTGGCTATAAAGCAAGTCAAGTTCCTGGGCTGAAGAAACTGCAAGGAGGCTAGTCACTAGGGAGAGGAAGCCAGGCATTGCTACATGATGTCATTACCCGTCACCTGCAGCCACTGTTTCCAGGACAGGCTGGGCTGTGGGCCGCATTTTGCGCCATGGGGCCTTGGCAGTGTTGGCTGCAATTTGGTGGGGTGTCGTTCTGGGAGGTGGTGGGGCCTGTTTCCCACTTGGGGGAAGCCGAGTGTTGCTTTGTGGGCGCCAGATCCACAGTGCTGTTTCTCTGTAAATGGCCAGTGTGCATCACAGCAGCTCCTGCGTTGGGCATCTGCCCCACAGTGGTTGGTGCATGTCATAGTGACCAGTTGGATGGACACTTAGCATATTAGCCTTTTATATATATTCAGATCTTTTTTCCACATGCACACTGGTTCAGGTTTTTGTAGTCTTTAGATTATAATTTAATGTTTATACAACGTTTTATCTATTTAATTTTCCTATTGCTTCATTTAAAAGTTTTCACCATTTTATTACTTATTTTCAGTATACCATTCTGATTTCTCCTTAAGTGCAGAAGTTTTACATTTACAGTCAAGTTGGTGAAATCTATTCCTTCAAATATAAAGTTTTGATTACGCTACATAAGTGAAAATACTCTGGTTTATATCCAAGGAGGTTTCTAACATTTCTACTTTTCTGACTTAAACTCTTGAATTCACCTGAATTAATTCTATCCACAGCCACAACCTTTGACATTTAATTTATAATACTTAGATCCAAATAGAGAACTTTGCTACATGACATATGAACATCCATTCTATGCCTAAAATTCATGAAACATCCAGATGGAACATTTTAATATGTGACATGCCCCTCTATTATGACTCTCAAATTTTTGGAGAATCCCCAAAGTTCAGCTTCAAGAGTCTAATTATACTCTCATGCTACTGAGTAAAGGCTGATCAAATTCCAACAGTCAACCAGAAGCATTTTCATAAAGTACAATGAAATCTAAGGGTTGGTAACTCTCCCTTCATACCTTAGGGCCCTAAGAGTAGCAACAGCTTTGCTGCTATAACGGGCTCCCACAGCCACTCCTACACTCATTCTTAACTTTATTGTTAATTATTGTTAGCCCTGTGGAGATAAACGCCCTGAATTATCCTAATTTGAATGTGTCATCTGTTTTCTCTTGAGATCCAATTAATGCAAACATAGTTTTTAAATACAGTTTGGTTCATCCACCCTGTGAAATACTATTCAGATGTTGAAAAGAATCAAGTAGACTCATACGTTTAGAAGACAGCATAGTATTAAATAAAAAGAGTACAATATAGGAAGATTTATATGGTATGGTCCCATTTATGTAAAACAAACACACATATATGCATGTGTAACTATACGTGTGTGTGTGTGTGTGTGTGTGTGTGTGTATTTGAGAGAAGTTCAAGCTTTGGTTTTTCTTGTACTGTTTTAACTTTTGCAAGAGAATATATTCATGTATGGGGTATAATTTTTTTTAATATATTTTATTGATTTTTTACAGAGAGGAAGGGAGAGAGATAGAGAGTTAGAAACATCGATGAGAGAGAAACATCGATCAGCCGCCTCCCGCACATCTCCCACTGGGGATATGCCCGCAACCCAGGCACATGCCCCTGACCGGAATCGAACCCGGGACCCTTCAGTCCGCAGGCCGACGCTCTATCCACTGAGCCAAACCGGTTTCAGCGGGGTATAATTTTTTTTAAAACTCATAGCACATAGGGTGTCGGAGAAAAGGCTTTATTTCCTCTAGTTCACTTTATCAGTCATAGATCAAAGCAGGAAACGAAACCAAATTAGACAGAAAGGGATTTAAAGACAAGGAATTTCATGCTTATAAAATAGCTGAAAGACTGGATGAATGGGCTCTGGACTGGCACTCCATGAGCAACTCTTTCACAACACCACAGACCCACCTACAAGGATCCGAACTTTGCCATTATCAGAAGTGAGGGAAGATGGGAACCACTACAGGAAGAAAAGAAAAAAACAAAAAAAAAACATCAGCAGAGCTGCAATCAGGGAGCCAGAACCAGAATCAGGAAGCTACTGCTGCCACAGCTGCCTCTGGACATCCAGAAACTGATGTGTGACACGGGATCCCTGAGTCAGCCCACTGCTGCTGCCTTCAGCACAACTACCTTCCCATACCCATAGTCTTGCTTTTTAGCAGGAACATCCAAAAACAAACAGAAAGTACCTCTGTCTCACGTCTGCCTTCCAAGTCTCACCTGCATACATCTCATTGGTAAAACCAGTTTGCTCCCAGAATGCTAGCTGCAAGAGAGTCCAAGGAATCTTTACCTTTTACCTTTATAGGCTCTGAAGGAAGATGGAATGGAAGTTAGCTAGCTAAACCATTACTCAAGGAGGAGGAAGGATTCAAGACATTTTAGACACACAAAAACTACAAGTTTCCAACCCATAGCATCTTTGCTAAAGGATGCATTGAAATAAGAATAAGGTGAATTATAAGAAAATGTGCTTTTTAAAAAGTGATTTAAAACTTTAAATCTTCAGTAAATTCCACAGTTCCATATGATGACTAAGAGCAGGGATTGCAAATTCTTTCTGTAAAACTCTAGAAAATCAGTATTTTCAGGTTTGCAGGCCATATGGTCTCTGTCATAATTACTCAGCTTTGCTGTTGTAGCACAAAAGCAGCCAATGGCAATATACAAATGAATGGACAGGCTGTATTTCAATAAAATTGTATTTATAAGACCAGATGGAGAGCTGGCTTTGGTTTACAGGGCACAGTTTGCTAACCCTGGGCTGAGAGAATCACCCGGCATATAATTCAGAGCATTTCTGGAGAAGGAAAGGTTACAAATTTGTTGAGAAATTGCATCGTGTGATCATGGGAAGGCAAGTAGTCTGCGAGGCAAACTTACAGTGTGCACAGTGGAAGTGGCATCAAGTGAGTTTCAGAAAGGAAGCTGAGGCCGGATCAAAAAAGGACCTTGTGTAATAACCTAAGTTGCTGCTCTGTCATAAGAATTTTAAGAAGAGTTTTCCATGATCAAATGTGGGTTTTAGAAAATACTTTTGGCAGTGTTATTTAAGAATGAGTTGGGAAGACTGAAGTCAGGTAACCCAAGGTGAACAACAATCTAAATTTTGGAGATTTGGTGGTTTCTGGAGAAAAACAGGGAAGATCAAAGTCAGGAGACATTTTAGAATTAAGACCAAAAGCTAACAGATTCTATATGAGGAAGAACAGAGCAGAAGGAAGAGTTGTTGTTGGAGGCAGGGCGGGAGTGGTCCTCGGTGGATGGAGTGGGGATAGGAAGGAAGGCAGTGCCCATAAGGAAACTCCAGCCTAGCAAGGGACCATATCTGTACCATGTCTTCTGGCTGCTACTTGATACAAAAATGATAACTGCCAGTCCATGGACATTTCCTGACAGATTTGGGAGGCTCTGAAAACTTCATAAATAGAATTGATCCTGGGAATTAGGTGACCACATAGGTCAAACCCATTCCCATGACTCCTATGAGGGAACATCCATATATCACCAAACTTGACAAGTGCAAGTCAATTGCCCTGGAATTCTTGGGTGACACCATTTTCCCGCCAGGTATGGAGATGCTGCCAATCTAAGTCAACATCTCTCTCTTTTTAAAAAAAAAATCTGAAATGTACTCTAAAATTCCAAGGGCCTTTATGTGTATTATCTAAATGTTTTCCCCCAATTTCACCATCTTTTAATGAGCTTCAGAAGAAGGAACTCCTACTTTGGTCAAAATCCATGGATAAAAAATTGGAAAGAATCCTTCAACAGAACTGTGCACAAATCCAATACTCACCCCACGCCATTCTTCTTCCTTCTTCCCCATGGGCACAGCCCGCAGCGGCAGCCCCATCTCTGACTGACTCCACTTGGCCAAGCTCAGCATACCTTACACCACCATCAGAGACAAGTCCCATCTGAAATAGGTCACTAAATATGCTTGAAATATGATATTAAAGCAAACAAATCAATGTGCAATTAGGTGTCCTTAGTGTATGAACACAGCCAGCTGGAAAAACCACACCGGAGTTGACATTTACAGGCTGTTGCTGCTGCTGCTGCGTCCACTATCCCGCAGACCCATCACTAATGCCATTGTTACCGCCACTGCCAAAAATGCTTCCAGAACACAACAGAAGCAGAAGAGCATTGTTTCTTCCTGCCTCTCACCTTCCAGGCCCGGCTGCTGTGGCTCAGAGGTTGAGCATCGGCCTATGAGCCAGGAGGTCACGATTCAATTCCCAGTCAGGGCACATGCCCCAGTGGCAGGCTCGAACCCCAGTAGGGGGGCATGCAGGAGACAGCCAATCAATGATTCTCTCTCATCATTGATGTTTCTATCTCTCCCTTCCTCTCCAAAATCAATAAAAATGTATTTACAAAAAAAGGGAAAAAAAGAAAAAGCCTGGCAAGAAGAGAAAGTAAAGGCAGAGTTTGAGTATTTGGTTCAGAGATCTGTAGTTTTCAGATCACAGAAGATAGAATCTCTCCCATCCCCACCCCCACACCCCTAAGAAAAAGCTACCAGCTCTCCCTCCATCCCACAGGGTATCTGGGTCTACCACATACATTTCATTATTTATTTGCTTTGTGTCCTTTTCCAACTTTGAAACTCTGGTCTTCAGTTCGGTTTTTTAGACTCTGGTTCTACCATGGACCTTTGCTTTTGGCATCATCTGACTTTTGACTTGGGTGCTTCAAATTCTAGGCAGCAGTGTAAGGCCAGAATGATGCTTAGCTGTCTTAAACAACCTTTCTGTTCATTTCTTGGTTTTGCCAAAAGATACCTCTAATGTGTAGTTTAATATTAACACTAAGCTAACAGGAAATTTTTATTCTTTTATTTTTCAAGGCAATGTCTATGCATTACCAAAATGTAGTGTTTGCGAATGTGGATGTCGACGATTCTCGGGTAAGAGTCTGAAATCCTTTCGCATAACGTCCAATTGTAATGTCCTTAAGAGCACTGGTTCAGTGATTATAGTCAATTTAAAGTCAAGTAGAATTTCACAATTCTTTCTGATAAACTATTGAAAACTCTTGAAAACTCCCTTGTAATGCTCTTGTATGTTTTGTATAGCTTAAAAAACAAACAAAAAGCCAGCAAAAATGTGGCTGTCCTGCCGCCCCTCCCCCCTCTCATACTATAGCAGACGCCACTAATGAGTCCCAACATTCTCTGGACTCTGCTGGAAACCTGCTCAGCGGAGTGGCTGGAGGCAGGCAACACCAGGTGGCTGGAGTTGGGCTCAAGGCAAAAAGTGATTTCGCCCCTGTAATAGATTATTATTAATCAATTTCTAACTCAATGCATTATACACATTTTATTTTTTATTTTTTTATTGATTTCAGTTGAGGAGAGGAAAGGGAGAGAGAAATAGAAACATCAATGAGAGAGAATCATCGATTGGCTGCCTCCTGCACGCCCCCTACTGGGGATTGACCTGCAACCTGGGCATGTGCCCTGACCCCGTGGTTCATAGGTCCACGCTCAGTCACTGAGCCATGCCAGCTGGGCAGCATTACACCCATTTTAATATATTTTACTTTTATCTTTTTGTATCTTTTTTTTGTGGGGAGTTTTTTTAAACATCCCAAGAAATTCTAGGAAATCCTTCCCTTATGTCAGAGCCTTCCTTTCTCAACCTACTCCCTTCCAAAATAATGAGCCATGGGTCTTCAATCAAAATGTGCCTTCTTGATGCACACAGTGTGTCTACAGAATTATTCTTCCTAGCATTTGTTCATTTATAATGAGGAAAAGTAACATTCACTAGTGACCTATGCATACCTTAGGTTGAATTTGAGCTTCAGAATAACGAAAAATCTGTTATTCACCCATTCTGCCCTTTAATATGTATTCTATTCTCATGGGTATAAATCTAGGAGTGGAATTGCTGGGTCATATGGTTACTCTGTGTTGAACTTTTTAAGGAATTGACAAACCATTTATAGCCCCACCAGCAACATCTGAGCATTCTGATTTCTGCACATCCTCACTAATGCATTATTGCTTGCCTTTTTTTTATTGTAGCTCTTTGTCTTCTAAGGTTAACCAAAAGGCACAATTTGCTTTCCAGATAGAAATTTACTTATTAGTTGTTGTCATGGAAATTACAATTTAATGTGTGTGTGTGTGTGTGTGTGTGTGTGTGTATGTGTGTGTGTGTTGTAGGCGGCAGGGGAGAGATTTAGTGCCATGAAGTGCTAAGAATTTTATAGAGAAAAGCCCAATTCTGTTGATCCTGTGGGTGGCCAGTTTTCTTTCAACTCTAAACAAGATAAATAAAAACTGGCATTGAAAACAGATTATAATAGTGTAACACAACTGAAATTTTTACATTTGTCTTGGGTTTTTGCTCCAGAATTTTTACATAGATGGTCAGTGAAGGTTTAAAAAAAGTAAAAGAAACATGTAAGTCATACTTAAAATGGTAGACCATCACATCACCACACGTCTCAAGTGTGAGTTACAGATGCCTTTACTCTTCCTTTCTTCCTTTTTGTTTTTGTGTTTGCAATATTCTCCCTCTATCCTGGGTTCCACTGGGACTCTCTGCAGTCTTCTGTAAACTCTCAGAATAGAGCTCATATGGTCATTCAATCCATTCTGTCTTGGCTTCCATCTCTCACCTCTCTAGACCTCTGGGTGAGAAAGCTCAGGAATGCTGAGCACAGTCATTTTCTATTGTAACGTTCCTGGAGCTGTGATATGTTAGAAAAGTTGTTGGTAGGAGAATCTATAAACGTCAGCTGTCCCTGAGCTTTCAGACTGGTCTCCTGAGAAGTCACCACGTTCCATGCTTGGGAAAGACAGAGGACACCACAGTTGTGACTCCGTGCCCTTCTTTTCTTTCCCAGGACTTGGCCCAAACTTGTAACGTCAGAGTAATACCCACATTTCAGTTGTTCAAGCAAACCAAAAAGGTATGTTTCCATGGTAACTGACAAAGTTGCAAGAGGTTATAGAACTATCAGAGTCTAAAAAAGATGAAACAACTGCATTTATTTTTAACACTTAACAATGTATAAGTTCAGTGTGTGAACTTTACATATTGGCAATGAGTTAAAAATGCCTGAATTATAGTAGATCTCCCTATTCAGACCCTCTGACATGTCCAAATTCATAAGAAATACCCACTATTATCTCTATATGAGGCAGAATCCTTCAAAAGGAATCTCACAAAAAAGGACATGATGAAATTGTCATGCAAATGTATACAAGTTTTTACCAACAGTTGGGAAAACGTTAAGCAAAAACAATCACAAGGCTATAAAGTCCATTGGTGGACCAGGCAGGTTCTGGATTCAGATTTCCATGGTCCAAACACCAGAGCTGCTACTTTCTAGCAGCTCACTTAACAACCTCTTTGTATCTTCGTTTCCTTGGCTGTAAAAACATGAATCATCCTAAGTTTTTCTCCTCACGGAGTGGTTATGAGAATTAAATGAATTAACATGAGTAAAGTTTTTAGACCCATCCTGACACACTTTAAGTGCTCGGTCCATTATCTCATGAAGATATTAATGGAATGAAATGTCTGAAATACTTGGTGTGTGATAACCCTGGTAATTTTCAATAGAAACATATGGCTGAGAGCACTGATAATTGTGCATACCTTATGCAACACTGTTCAGAGAAGCAAACATTTAATTGCCTTTCACACCATCATTCCATTGTTGGGAACTTTTGCTTCAGATATACTGCAAGGAAAGATAAACAGCTGTGTGTATAGTAATTATAACATTATTGCTAATAAAATATGGAAGGAAGCTAAATGCCTTTTTTTAGTAATTTATGATATATCTACTCTATGAAATGGTATTAATTAAAAAGTGTTATGAAGAATATATGTACAGTAAAAAATCATGCTTAAACTTTATAAAGATTATGTCTGCAATATGAAGAATAAAAGCACTTGATATGCTAAACTAGCTGTAGAATTTTATACTCAGCTTCTATTTGTTTGTATGTATTTACTGTACATAATCAGTCCAGTAGATTTAAATAATGTTTCCAAAAAAATAAGACTACCTATTCCCTGTTTTGAGCTTTTACTTGAAAATTGAAGCTATTTGATATATGCATTCGTAACCACCCCTGCCTACATCTCATATTATTTGTGTCTTCCCCTCTTTTATCTCAAAAATGAGGGTGCTTTCTACTTCCTAAATCCATTCATCCACCACATCTTGACTGAATTCTTTCTATTCTGCTCCAGGCCTCCATTCACTGGCAAAGAGCCACTGTCCATTCGCCCTTGTATTTTTAATGTAGATTGTACCAACAGCCTTATGGCAATTCCTCTTAGATCACAGACTTTGGAGAATATCTGCCTCCCTTAAAAATATTATCTGCTCCCTTGCATTCCATTAGAAGACTTAGGGAATCCCTTGGGTTTCTGTTTTTCCATTGCTGCCAAGGCCCTCCGTATTACCTCCAATACTCAAATACCATGGCCTCCCTTAGCCAGTTTTCTGGCATTCTCTACACAGCATCATCCTTTCAAGGTTTCGTTCTTCTGTCTTGCTCTTGATTCTAGCTCATTTCAAATACCTTCAAGGTATATAGAATATAAACAAAATAAAACGTTAGAAAGCTAAAGCAAATTCAGCTATGTAACAATGACCTAGGGCCATGGTGTACAATGGGCATTTCTTGGTGCTGGAAGTTTCCATCCAGAGGTTCAACAAATGCCTGGCAGGGATGCCCTATAAACAACAGCTGTCATTGTCTCTCAGTTTTAGGGCACAGGTGTGCTCCTTAGTGTTCCAGTAAGAGTAACTGTGTTCTTAAAAAAGTCCGTTCCTGTGGTATCCTCCAGGTGGGACATCCAAAACCTTGACTGGTTTTTGTAACCGGAACTTTATACTGTATTTTATTGTAAGTAGTTCATAAATTCGGTTTATAAACCCTCTTTAAAAGACTATAAACTCTCTTCAGCAAAATGCACATAAACCAGAATGTGCATAGAATTCTAGGGTATTCGATGAGCCTCTGAAGCTGATCAATAGACCCCCTTGGTTAATGGCTTCGGTTCCAGACCAAAGTTGGTGAATGTCCACGGAGTAGGGGAAGGTAGAATAACAAAGTCTTAGCAAGTCTTGGCCAACTGCGTGAATATGGGCCACTGTCAGCGGTCGGTTCCTCCTTTCATTCTTTGATAGAATGAAATGCACTTCAGTCCACTCCTGAGAATGATGAGATATGGAGAGGTAGATGCTAGTAAATGCATTATTCGCAAAAGAATAATTCAAAAGAATTGAGCTCTGTAGTAAGTGGGAGGAAATGTTTGCCTTTATGCTTCTGAAGCACAGGGCCCTTGCGGAGGTGGTGGAAGTCACTTCTAGCAAATACCCTCCTTGAAGCAGGGAGAGAGGTGAAAAGAATTCCAAGTAGGCAGCAACATTGTGCGCTAAAAAGAGGACAGCATTGGAAGCAGGGGTCACACACTCGGTATCCTCAAGCGTCAGGCAGGGACCATAGGGGCGGCAGTAGGAAGTGAATAGTATGGTGGTCCCTGGAAAATCACCTCCCAAATGCTGCTCTTACTGTTCGAGTTCATAGAAAGTTGAGCTTGACCCGCCCTCTAAAAAGAGTATCTGCAGATACTCATTTCTGCCATCTCTGGAGTCAGACAGCTGTCGGTTGGACGCCCAGGTCTGCCTCTTATTGGTGTGTGACCTTGGGACGATGCTTTAACCACCTTGAGGTTCAGTGTCCTGCTCTGGAAAATAGTACTGTATCATGTGTCTTTGAATGATTGTCATGAAAATGTACAGAAGGTGCCCCAGCACTGGACTTGGTACAAAACATAGCTGCTAGCAGATCCCCAGGATCTCCCTGTGCACCTGTCTTCCTGAAAAATGTAGAAATAAATAGAAATTTGGAAATAACTGTTATGAGAAATCTCTAAAGCTCTTTGAATAACTATAATAAGCTAAGTCTTCTTAGCATTGCGGAGTTACCGACCCAGTGACATCCAAGTTGTTAAGGATTCTTTTAGACACGGACGGGTTCTGCGTGAGAAGGGAAAAGAGAACTCTCACGTGGTCTTCAAGGTCCCGAAGGGCGCAGATCCCTAAAAGGGGTTGCATATCAGCCCCATAAGCAGCTGATCCACGGGCAAAGGTTAATTGACTGGAGGAGGCAAGAACTGAGTGAGATGGAGGGAAAGTCAGAGAAGTGCAGCAACCATTCTTCACCATTTAGCAACCTTTGGCACCATTGCCAAAGATGCTGCTCTCTGCTTTAGCAACTGAAAGGCAGTAATGACTTTGTACCTCTTTTCTCCAGAGCAGGGATTATTAGGCTGAGGCCAGTGAGGCAGGATATTGCAAGTGTAGGGGAGAATCCTATCTTCATTTGAATTTTTGATGTATTGTTTATCATGGATTTTTGCATTAACTTTTAATATTATTAAAATACTAGAGGCTCGATGCACGAAATTCGTGCAAGAGTAGGCCTTCCTTCCCCCGGCTGCTGGCACTAGCTTCCCTCTGGCACCCGGGACCCAGGCTTCCCTCGCAGCCCTGGCTTTGTCCGGAAGGATGTCTGGTCTAATTAGCATATTATGCTTTTATTATTATAGATTATTATAGATGTGTTAAACTATTCCTTCCCTTGAATCCTGAGTTTCTGGCACCCCTTGAATTTTATACCCTAGTCTCAGTCCCATTCTTCTCTGAATTTTAAATTGTTGAAAAATGGGAGTATTCCACTGGGTGATTCTCCAGAAAGACTTACAAGACTCAATAGCAGGTTGTACTCATAGCTGAGATTTATCACAGCAAAGAATACAGAGTAAAAGCAGCATGAAAAAGACATGCATTGATAGAGTCCAGAAAGGTTCAGCACAGACTTCTGATGTTCTTTCTTGTTCAAGGACATACGGGGGTAATCTATCCAGCAATGGACTTTAGGGACATGTGCAGAATGTTGCTACTTTAGGGGTGCCCTTTGGAATCTCAGGGTCTGAGGACTTTATGTGGGGACTAGGCACATGGATATATCATGCTAGGCAACCATTGCTACACAACTAGCCATGACAGTGGAAACTTGGGACCCCAAAAACAAAACCAGGCACACATCATCAATATTGATGTTTACACAAAGCAACTTAATAAGCTAGCATGTCCCAGTCCTTCGCTCCAGGTATCTACACTAATAAAAGAGAAAGATGCAAATTGACCATACTTTTGTGATGCCCACCAGCCAATCAGGAGTGAGTATGCAAATTAGCCCAACAAAGATGGTGGGTTAACTTGAATATGCAGGTGCCTAGTGGCTGGGGGTGGGGCGGGATGCTTGCGTCATCACCATGGTGACAACACAGGCGGCCCACACCACCGCAGCCACTCCGGGCCTCTGGGCAGCGTGGGAAGGCGGAAAGGCGGCTCTGGGCCAGAGCAAAGGCAGAAAGGTGGCTCCGGCTGGAGTGAAGGCAGCGCCGGCAGCCAGGGGAAGGAAGGCCCATTCTTGCACAAAGCTTGGTGCATCAGGCCTCTAGTTTATAATAAAGTCATCAATCACTAACACAAGGAACACTCAGAGGGCCACTTGGAGGGAGAGGAGGGGTGAAAGTCCTGTCACTGTTCTCTCGGAGACATGCAAGGATTAAGCCCCCAGATCTGCTGCATTAACTCTTTTCTCTCACGGAGTCATGTGGAACGTCAAATATCACCTCTGTTATAAGTAGCAATAGTGCCAAACTGCACTAATTGAAGGGCATGGCTTGGACCCAAGTCAACAGATTTCCTACTATACGTTGAAAACTAGACCTTGAGGTGAGCTACCTGTGGGAGAATTGGGGGAGCAGAAGAGAAACTTAACCGCCAGGGGAAGAAGATATTGCTGCTTTTCACAACTATTGATTCTCAAAAGTGAGGCTCGAGGGTGTTAGCCTTCCAGACCTATCTGTGGAAAA